TCCCACCGACACCAATGATGGGGCACTATTCCTCCCACCGACACCAATGATGGGGCACTATTCCTTCCACTGATACCAATGATGGGGCACTATTCCTCTCACTGATACCAATGATGGAGCACTATTCCTCCCACTGACACCAATGATGGGGCACTATTCCTCCCACTGATACCAATGATGGGGCACTATTCCTCCCACTGACACCAATGATGGGGAATTGTTCCTCCCACTGATACCAATGATAGGGCACTATTCCTCCCACTGACACCAATGATGGGGCACTATTCCTCCCACTGACACCAATGATGGGGCACTATTCCTCCTACTGACACAAAGGATGGGGCACTATTCCTCCCACTGACACCAATGATGGGGCACTATTCCTCCTACTGACACCAATGATGGGGCACTATTCCTCCTAATCAGGGGCGGACTGACCATTTAGCCACCCGGGCACTGCCCAAGGGCCCGGGGTCAGTAGGGGGCCCCATGAGATGCCCCTGTTTTTTTGGTGTTGTTTAAGTGTGGGTGAGGACACAGGGGCCCCATGATTTCCAGTTGCGCAGGGGCCCCTTGAGTTTTCAGTCCTCCCCTGCTCCCAATCGATGACACCACAACACGGGGGGCATTATTCCTCCTACTGACACCAATGATGGGCCACTATTTCTCCTGATGACACCACAATCGGGCACTATTCCTTCCACAACTCTCCAGCAATACACACCAAACTGAACATGTGCAGCTTGCTCCCAAGGCTCTGTTCTATCAGCAGATGGATTGGGGACAGTAGAAGGGGAGGATCAGAGAAGACAGGATCAAACATCCTTTGTACACAATGTAGAGCATTAAAGTGGTTGTAAAGGCTCACGTTTTTTTACCTTCATGCATTCTATACATGAAGTTAAAAAACATTCTCTGTGCAGCATCCCCCCTAAGCCCCCTCTTGATCCATGTGCACTGGAGTCTCCGCTGGACTCCCTCTTCTCATTGGCTGAGACAGAAGCAGGAGCTATTGGCGTTCCCACTGCTGTCATTTACAGACAGTGAGCCAATCAGAAGAGAGAAGGGCGAGCCATTGCGGTGTGTGTGTGAATGGATACACGGAGCAGTGGGTGCCCCCATAGCAAGCTGCTTGCTGTGGGGCACCTGACAGGAGGGAGTTCCCGCGGGGGACCCAAGAAGAAGAGGATCCAGGCTGCCCTGTGCAAAACCACTACACACAGCAGGTAAGTATAGAGATGTTTTTTATTTAAAAAAAAAAAAAGCCTTTAGAATCACTTTAACCCCTTAGGTTCCACAGTGAGTATAACAAGCATGTTTTACTGCATCTACAGACTGATTGTACTGTTGTGGGTTTAGTAACACTTTAATTACACACTATGCACAGAATGCAGTACTATATGTATAGAGCTGTCTATATATTACACTTTGTGCTCTGCATATAATATTACCTATGTACTCTGTATATTGCTGTATACTAATAATAATATAATGTATAGGGATGCACCAAAATTTTGGAGGCCGAAACGCTTCGGCCGAAAACACCCCTATCGGCCTCCGGGCGATATAAAAATAAGCACCGATACAGGTTCCGAAAATAACCCCGGTCCCTGGCTGCCGCCATCCGCCGCCACTCGCCAGTTCGCAGCCTTACCTGAGAAACCACCGAACGATCCCAGCACTGGGCATAGAGATAAGTGAAGAAAAGATGGCCTCCACTCATCTCTATGCCCTTGGAGGACCAGAGCGACGTCACTTCCGATTCCAGAGCTTTTTTTTTTTTTATTAAAGCACTAGATCAATGCTTTTTTTGATCTAATGCTTTAGAGGGTAAAGAGGAGTAAGAGGAGTTCCAGAGCCGACCCAGGGGGAAGATGTGAAAGAGTTAATTGGCAAATTATTAAACTCCATAATGGACAAATCGGATATGATGATGTTTAAATTGGATGGAGTATATAGAATTGGGAAGTATCAACAAGGATTAGAGAAACCAAGAGATATAATTGTTAAATTCCATAGCTATGGAGATAAAGAAGAAATATGGAAAAAGATTACAGGAAGACCAAGCATTGTATATGGAGGGAAAAACATTCAAATCTTTGCAGATTTAACAGCAGAGTCTCTGAGAAGGAAAAGATCATTGAAACCCCTATTAGAAGTGTTGAAAAAACATAATGTGAAATATACAGTGGGGATCGAAAGTTTGGGCACCCCAGCTAAAAATTTGTATTAATGAGCATAAAGAAGCCAAGGAAAGATGGAAAAATCTCCAAAAGGCATCAAATTACAGTTTAGACATTCTTATAATATGTCAACAAAAGTTAGATTTTATTTCCATCATTTACACTTTCAAAATAACAGATTTTGCGTCTGCAAAAGTTTGGGCACCCTGCAGAGTTAATATCTTGTACTGCCCCCTTTGGCAAGTATCGCAGCTTGTAAACGCTTTTTGTAGCCAGCCAAGAGTCTTTCAATTCTTGTTTGAGGTATCTTTGCCCATTCTTCCTTACAAAAGTCTTCCAGTTCTTTGAGATTTCTGGGCTGTCTGTCACGCACGGCTCCTTTAAGGTCTATCCATAGATTTTCAATTATGTTGAGGTCAGGAGATTGTGAAGGCCATGGCAAAACCTTCAGTTTACGCCTCTTGATGTAATCCCCCGTGGATTACGAGGTGTGTTTAGGTCCATTATCCATTTGTAGAAGCCACCCTCTCTTTAACTTCAGCTTTTTCACAGATGGCATCAAGTTACCATCCAAAATTTGCTGAAATTTTATTGAATCCATTTTTCCTTCTACTCGTGAGATGTTCCCTGTGCCACTGGCTGCAACACAACCCCAAAGCATGATTGATCCAACCCCATGCTTAACAGTTGGACAGAGGTTCTTTTCATTAAATTCTGTGCCCCTTCTTCTCCAAACGTACCTTTGCTCATTCCAGCCAAAGAGGTGGGGGTGGAAGGGGTTGGTGGGAAAGGGGGGTAGGGACAGGGGAAAGGCAAAGGGTAGGGGGGTAGTAATACTCTGCAAGATAAGAGAAGGATGGATGAGGAAGGATAAACCCGCAGGAAAAAAGTAAGATGGAAGAAATTCAATATATAACCTATAACGTAAAGGGGTTAAATTGCCCAGGAAAGAGATTTAGACTATTTAAAGAACTACAACATAGAAAATCCTCAGTAGTATTCCTGCAGGAAACACACTTAGAGATAGAATCAAAAAAAATGTATTATTATTATATTATTATTTTTTATGATTATTTATTAAATTATAATTTATGATTTTGTGTTTCAAATTTTATCATACCTGGGATGTTTAATAGACTCTTGTTCGGACAGATTTCAGTGAGTTATTCCTAAATATTACAGCCGACAATAAAAAAACTACATATTTCCATGCAAAATAATGGTACCGCTTTCAGCACCAAAAATCTAAAATAATCATACCGCCAGGGAGGTTAAAGCACGACATGTTGAGTATCTATTTACTCGGTATAACATCATCTTTCATATTTTACAAAAAAAAATGGGGTATATTGTTTTTTTTTTTTATCATTAAAGTGTATTTTTTTCCCAAACAATTGCGTTTGAAATATATATTAATTTTAAAAAACTTTCCATTTCATTTTCGGCCAAGTGCATCCTGAATTTTGGGTTTCGGCACCAGAATTTTCATTTTGGTGTAGCACTAGGTATTATGTATATATTATACTGTGTGCCAAATTTTTACTATTATCCAAATACTGTATATACAGTATAGTCTTATGTGTAATTTGTACCAGTCAGTACTGGGAGCCATTCAGGCTCTCCTGCTTGCACGTGTGCTGACAAGGAGAGAGAAATGACCCCAGCAATGTGGTGCAGAATCTGTTTGTTCAGTCCCAGGCAGATAGGTGATCAAGCCATGCTGCTTAACTGCCATAGGAATAAAATGAGGTCACTGACCTGGCTATGGTTTCTGGCAGGTGTGCCGCAGTCACAAACTTGTCTCTAAAACAGTTTAAATCCTTTGGCAGAGTTCCTTTACATGTACAGTATTTCAGCATTTGCCTGGAGACAATCTTCTGCTCTACCACGTGTGAGTGTTTGTTTAATGAAGGCGATTGTGGACATGGAAAGGACACCTTTTAACCGCACAGAAAGGCGCTGTGTTTTACAATGTTTTCCCATGCTACTTAAACGTGGCCAGTTTTGTTGTATGAATAATTTTCACATTTATATCCTCCAGTTTTTGTTATGCAGCATTAGCACCCGCCTTCCAATTTGGTGTTTTAAAGTGACCCTGTCACTGGATGTAAAAAAATTGTAAAAAAACATGACCTGTGAAAGAAGAGGATTTATATCTCTGTGTCCTGCTGCTTGTTCCCCAATCTTTGCTCAAGAGGTACATCTGAATCAAAAATCTTCAAAATGATCACTTTCCAGCGGATTGGATGGCTGAATTCCCCGGAACCGATGTAGTTCCATCCGCTGACCTGTACCTTCATCACTATGTCCTGTAGGGGTTTGCGGTGACTGGCGGTTTTTCCGCCAGATCAATGCCAGTCACCACAAGGGCCCATAAAAAATTGTGTGTTCTGTGTGCCCTGTACTTCCTCAAAGCCTGGGTGATCCCGGACAAGCCCCCAATCTTTGACTGGACAGTGAAAGGAAAAGCAGCAGAGTGATGCTCATCTCTCTGTCACTATGCTTGCGCCTCCTATCAGCATGCTTCCTGTCAGCACTTGAACTGATTGGCTCTTTGTGCTGCTTTTCCCTCCACAAGACACAGATCTGCTGTGCAGGCAGGTACCAGGTCAATTTCAGGTATTTACACTGCTTACTTTAAAAAAATGAATATAATGATGTAATATTAATTAGGGAACTGCGTTCATGTCTTTTATATCTGCTTGGTGGCCAGCTTGTACAGAAATCTGCACCAATGCAGTCTGTTAATTTGCACCCTACATATAGTGACTTATAAAGGTACACACTCTAATGCCACCTTAATTCTTCATCCCACAGTGTTCTGCTCTCCGTAGCTCCACCCCAAAAACCCGTCACCACCATAAGTTACGTCCATGGGAACACTGATATACCGCTGATCAGCAAGACTATGCAGCAGTGTCTGTGGGACACAACTCAGCGAATCCCGGATCAAGAGGTCGTTGTCGATGTCCAGGGCGGCAAAAGAAAGACCTTCAGCCAGATGTGCAAAGATGTAGGTAACAAGTGCACCTGTCATGTCGCGGTAACAGTGTGGTGTAGGATAGATGGTAGGATCCTTTTAATGGTGAAAGTTTCAGTGTATTTTGTTACCCTTTCCTAAACCTCAATCTGTAGATTCATCCTTTCACTGCCAGAGCCGTTTTAACTTTTTGCACACGTTTAAAAAATCATTTTAGGCCTGATGCTTAGTTAAAACCCCCAAACATGATCTATTTTCTGAAACCAGAGACCCTGGAGAATAAAATGTTGGTAGTGCCAATTTTTTTGTCACGTGACATTTGCACAATTTTTTTTATCAAGCACAACATTTCTGTAAAAAATGCATTAAAGTTAATTCTAAAACAAATAAATATATTACCCAGTTTGTGATAAAAATATAAAAGATGAGGTTTCACCGAATTATCTGATAACCAAAATGTCAAGCTTTAAATTCCTACGTCGGTTATATATTTGCGGAGGAAAATATGACATTTTGTCATTCCAGGGGCAGCGGTCGCTCTGTCATTTGTTTACCCCAAAACCTGGAATATATATAACTGACATGGGAAGTTTTCCCGTTTAATAACGTGCAGCAACAGCACTGAAGAAGGGAGAGTCTTTTCTCCCAAAACGCGTTGGCTTGATGTACTTGTCATTACTCTCAATAAATGCCACCTAATCTACCATCATAAGTGCATTCTTTTGAATATCGGGCGCTCCTTCCTTTCTACTATTCGAAGTATATGGGCAGCACAGTGGCTAAATGTTTAGCACTTCTGCCTGACAATATATTAGGGTCGTTGGTTTGCATCCCAACCACGGCACCACCTGCCTGGAGTTTGCATGTTCTCCCTGTGCCTGCTTGGGTTTCCTCCGGGTACTCCGTTTTCCTCCCACACTCCAAAGACATGCTGGTAGGTTAATTGGATCCTGTCTAAATTGGCCCTAGTATGTGTATGTATGAATGTAAGTTAGGGACCTTAGATTGTACACCCCTTGAGGGTTAGGGACTGATGTGAATATACAATATATATGTAAAGCGCTGCATAAATTGACGGCGCTATATAAGTACTTGAAATAAATAAAATATACGAGTGGAAACAACCTCAAGGCCATGCCAGAAAGGCAGCAGCCCAAACCCTAAGAGGGTTTACCACCAATATCCACCACTGGGGACATCTCTTCCCTCCCCCCACGCAACCACCCACCTAGGACCGGTGACTGATCTAGTTAGTCCAGCGCAATCTTCAGCACAAACATTAAAAAGAAAAAAAAAAAACACACAGAAAATGATTTACAGAGATAGTATACAGATTACTCATAGGAGTGAATTAAAAAATCACAAATCTATTCATCCTCTGAAATCACATGTACATCTGTTCTGTGTAAACGGAGGAAAATATGAATATTATTAGATTGTTTTGTTTGTTTTTTCTTCAAGTCGAATTTTCTACTTCATTCAGATTTCAGTGAATCTGCATCTTGGCCACTAGATGGTACTAACACTAATAAGTACAGGTGTACCTCGTTTACAAACGCCTCAATTAACATAGGTTTACAAAAATCCATTGAAAATAATGCCTTGCTTTACAAATTTTTTTCGCAATACGAAGTGTATGTCGGTGCCGATTTTTAAATGCAATTGCCGGCTTTTTTTTTTCTTCACTATAGCTCACAGAATTAGCTGTCACTTTCCCCAGAGTTAAGAAACTAAAAGGAAAACAATGTTTCTTTTAACTCAGGCAAATAAACTAAAAGGAAACTTTCTTTCTTTTAGCTGGGGGGAAAGTGACAGCTGAATTTCTGAGCTATAGTGAAAAAAAAACAAAAAGCGGTAATTATGTTTAAAAACCGGCACCATAATAAATAAAAAATACGGCGTGAGGTCCCCCCTCCCATCCATACCAAGCCCTTCGGGTCTGGTATGGATTTTGAGGGGAACTCCCACACCAAGATTTAAAAAAAAAAATGGCGTGGGGTCCCCCCCAAAATCCATACCAGGCCCTTATTTAAGCATGCAGCCCGGCAGGTCAGGAAAGGGGGGGGGGGACACGTGAGCTCCCCCCCCTCCTGAACCATACCAGGCCACATGCCCTCAACATGGGGGGGGTGCTTTGGGGCGGGGGGGGGCTCCCCCCAAAGCATCTTGTTTCCATGTTGGGGAAAAGGGCCTCTTCCTCACAACCTTGGCCGGTGGTTGTGGGGGTCTGCGGGCTTATCGGAATCTAGCAGCCCCCTTTAACAAGGGGGCCCCCAGATCCTGCCCCCCCCATGTGAATGAGTATGGGGTACATGGTACCGTTGCTCATTCACAAAAAACTAAAAGTGTAGTGTGAAAAAAAAACCGGACACGTGCTTTGACAAGTCCTTTATTAAAAGAAAAAAGTAAAAGAATGTCCCCCACAGCAGATCCAACGTCAGTCACGATGTCCGCCGCCGACCCGAAAAAAGAATGAAAAAAAAAAGGGCTCTGCATCCGACAAGGGCCCCCGGCTGTCTGCCTGCTCCGGTGGTTTGACAGTTCTCAAATATGTATGGGGTGGGGCCCCCCGGGGATATTACGAATGTGACCCCCACCCCATGTGACATCAATGATTTGCTATACTAAAAGTCCAGCAGAATGAATTAATTTCGTAAACCGAAGTATGCCTGTACTTGATTGTAAGCGCCATCTAGTGGTCATAAAGCAGTATTTTCCTAAATCACACTTGATTGTGAAGAATAAAATTCAGCCTGTAGAGAAAATAATCTAATAACATTTGTTTTGTCCCCTTTAGACAGAGGTAATGTGCATGCCATTCCACAGGAAGAATAGCTCTGTGAATTTTTTGTAAATACATCTGTCCTTACATATTGTGTAGACTATATAATTTCTGGCTCCTTTTGAAAATGTTAGTTGCCTGGCTATTATGCGGATCCAGTGTTTTCAGTCATTTCTGTGTCAGTGACCAGGAACAAGTATGCAGATCAGTGGACATTGGATTTTATAAAGGGGGCCAGTACATTATTAGTTGTTAACCATTTGCCGCACGCCCTATGGCCGAATGGCGGGCGGCAAATGCCATCAGCGTTCCGGGTGGACGCCATATGGCGCCATATGGCTCCTGCAGAGCGGCGCAGCGGCGCGATCTGTCACTGGCCGTGTACCTCGGACACGGCCGATGACAGATCTGAGTATCGGCCCTGTTGCCCAATCACAGTAGGTCACATGACAGTTGTATACAATGGATGGCTTCATTCATGCCATCCATTGTATACTACTGTCTAGTTGTGAATGGTCACAGCTAATCACATGCACATGTCATGTGATTAGCTGTGGCCAAATCCAAGCTAAGCACAAAAAAAAAAAAAAAAAAAAAAAATGAATCGATGTCATTCAGGTAAATGCTTGCTTATAGCAAAGTAATTCTTTGCTATAAGCAAATTGTGTAAAAAAAAAAAAAAAAAATACTGATCACTTCCCCAAAGTAGTACAATGTTACTATGGTAACATTGTACTACTTTGGTCATAGTGAAATATGAAAAAAAAAATCTTAAAAAAAAGAAAAAAAAATTTAATAAAAAAAAATTTTTAAAAAAAATATATAATTTTTTTTTTTTCATACTGTCACCAGTCAGTGTCCCTGATCACCGCCATGCCAGTTATATGATGATGCTGTACTGCACTGGAGACAGTATGTAAAAAAAAAAAATAGTGAAAATAATTTTTTTAATTTTTTCATTTTCCGTAAAATTATGACAAAAAAAATACAACTTCAAAAAACACGCCATGCCTCTTATGAAGTACGTCGGACTGTCTACTCTGCAATAAGGTGTCATTTTGGGGATATCTGTACTATTCTGACATTTGGGGATATCTGTACTGTTCTGACATTCTTGGACCTCAAGAAATTGGATTGGCTGTCAGTACTTCAGGATTGATCAATTTTCAGATCTATCCCATAGTTTGTGAACTCTATAACTTTCCTACAAACTAAAAAATACATCCTAATTTGGGTTATTTTCACCAAAGACATGTAGCAGAATACATCTCGGCCTAAATTTATGAAGAACAATTATTTATTTCCAAACTTTTATAACAGAAACAAAGAAAAGCTTTTTTTTAAAAAAATTTTTGGTCTTTTTTTGTAATTTAGCAAAAAATAAAAACCCCGGCAGTGATTAAATACCACCAAAAGAAAGCTCTAGTTGTGTGAAGAAAATGATAAAATTTTAGTTTGGGTACAATGTTGTATGACCGCGCAATTGTCATTCAAAGTGTGAGAACGCTGAAACCTGAAAAATGGCCTGGGCAGGAAAGTGTAAAATTGCCCGGTATTGAAATGGTTAAACACTGCTATAGAATATAATGTTTTTTTATTATTTATTGCACAGGTTGAGACTCTCGCCGCAGGACTGCTGGCACTTGGCCTGAAAAAAGGAGACCGCCTCGGAATGTGGGGGCCAAATAGCTATGAGTGGATCGTTACACAGTTTGCTACGGCTCAAGCTGGTATCATCCTGGTGAGTTCCGCTGTTCATGGTGTATTCTGAACAACGGACATTTTTTTTTTTTTAAAGCCCAACTGAATTGTCAGTTTTAAAGTTATATACATTCCGGGTGTATTAAAACAAAAGACATGCAAAGTCTTACAGTTTGTTTTCAGTAAAATACTAGCCACAACCTGAGGAGGTAGGCCTGTCACTGACCACCATGCTGCAGAGAAGGACCCTTTCTCTTTGGAAGGAAGCAGTGGTCTCTCTGCAGAGGTCTAACATCTCCCCCTTCGGAGTCAGAGCCAGAGCTGTCTAATCAGTGAGAAGCATGAGCTCTGTTGAGAAAAAAAACCCTTCAGGCTTTAGAGCCATGTGAACCACTTCAAGTCTTGGACGTTTCAAAAGTCGAATGGTTAAACTAATCAAGGACCACAAAAGTCCTTGTTCAAACGGGGCGATTACCTCTGTGCCCCAAGCAGGGCGGTGTTTTCCAAGGGATTACCAGATGTTGTGTGCATACCGATGCAGGCAGTCTAGTTCATGTCTATTGGGATACAGTGGCTGCATGGACACAGAAGCTGCTCTCAATATGACATCAATGCAAATGGCTGGTGCATGGCCCCCCGAAGGCACCCAAGATGAGTTTTCCGAGTTGTACCCGCACTCACCTGGATGTCATATTGGGGCACAGCTGTGTCCTAATAGACATGAATGAGTCTATCTGCATGGGGATTCACAGAACATCTGTGCATTCCTGTGTGGGTAAGCACAGACCTCACATGGGGAACAGAGGCAATCGCTCCGTCTGAGCAAAGCCCAACAGTGCTATGACTTTTAATTATGACTTTTAATCTCAAGATCCTGATTTTGAAATGTAAAATTCTGACTTTTAGGGGTTTATTTACTAAAGCTGGAGAGTCCAAAATCAGACTTCCTTCTGCATAGAAACCAATCAGCTTCTAACCTCAGCTTGTTCAATGAAGCTTTGGCAATGAAACCTGGAAGCTGATTGGTTTCTATGCAGAAGGGAGTCTGATTTTGGACTCTCCAGCTTTAGTAAATAAACCCCTTAATGTCAGAATTCTGATTTTGAAATTTAGAATTCTGATTTTTAATCTCACAATTCTGATTTTTAATCTCAAAATGTTGACTTTTCATCTCAGAATTCTGATTTTTAATCTCAGAATTTTGACCTTTAATCTCAGAATTTCGACCTTTAATCTCAGAATTCTGATTTTTCATCTCAGAATTATGACTTTAAAATTTAGAATTATGACTTTTATTCTCAAGATTCCTGACTTTGAAATGTAAAATTTTGACTTTATCAGGATTCTGATTTAGAAATTTAGAATGTATGACTTTAAAACTCAGAATTTTGACTTTTAATCTCAAAATTTTGAGTTTTTATCTCGAAATTCTGACTTTTCAACTCAGGATTATGATTTTTACTCTCAGAATCCTGACTTTTACTCTCAGAATCCTGACTTTGAAATTTATAATTGTGACTTTTAATCTCAGAATTCTGACTTTGAAACTCAGAGTTTTATTCAATAAATTTAGGATGGACCCAGGGCTCTTCTGTAGAAATTAGCAAAAAAAAAGAAAAGTAGAAAGATCGAGAAGAAAAGAGAAAGGGGAGAGAGGAGAAGCCACAGAGGCCACTTAAAGGAGTTCTGAGAGGCAGTTAAGAGGAAGGAAGCCCCCTTTGATGTTCAAAGCAGCAGTAAATGTGAGGTGTGAGGAGAAGGAGGGGAGTAGTCAAGCCAAGGTTGCCATACCAAAAGAAATTTACCATGAGTGTCCTCCAAAATCGTGATCCTCAGTTCATTGACGAATGTGCCCTGAATCTTGAATTTTACCTCTTCAAAGCTGCGGGAAGGAGTCTTCCATGCAGGAGCAATAGTTGATTTAGTGACTATAAAAATATGGGGGATAAGGATGCGACCTTGCTGGGGGATATTGTTAATCGGGTTGTGGAAAAGGGCCTCCCAAGAGTCTTTGTGAAAGTTAATTTGTGATTTAATCATTGTATAGAACAGAGTGTAAGCTGCTGGCCGGATGTGGCCCTTTGCTTGTTATCTGGCCCTTGAGGCACTATTCCTTCCACTGATACAAGGTACTATTCCTTTCACTTACACCAAAAATGGGGAACTAATTCTCCCATTGACACCAATGATGGGGCACTATTCCTCCCACTGGCACCAATGATGTGGCTTTATTCCTCCCATTGACACCAATGATGGGGCACTATTCCTCCCACTGACACCAATGATGTGGCACTATTCCTCCCGTTGACACCAATGATGTAATTGTTTTACTCCCACTGATGCCAGGGCATTTTCTACTCCCACTGGCCGCAGTCTGGCCTTTCTAAACTTTGAAGGGCAGTAAACTGGCCCTTTGTTTTGAAAGTTTTGAGACCCCTGATATAGACCTTTATCCACAAGTGATGTATCTTTGGGTAAGTCCACTATATATAGAATATGAAACATATTGCCTTCTTTGCAACACCCCTAGAGCAAGATGCTATATAGTTTGGAATACATTTACCTTTTCTCTACGGTGTAAAATACCAGTGGAAGAGCACTTTATAAGCGTTCTCCAGCACTTTTATATTTCATAAACATCACTTGTCAGATTTTCGATCATTCTTCAGGAGGAAGAGTGGTATAAAGCAATAAAATGGGGCACAATTATAAGCATTCTCAAAATAGAAGAGTATATAAAGAACAACACAACTTAGGTTGTTATATTACGTTTTCAGTTTTGGGTTTAGATACATTTTTTGACTTTTAATACAAATGAAATTGTTCAGTGTACATTGCCATTACACATTCACATTGACCTCTAACACAAATCTGTTTTCTGCAGGTGTCGGTGAATCCAGCGTATCAAGCAAAGGAATTGGAGTATGTCCTTAAGAAGGTACAATAGATTAAGGCCCCTATTATATCTTTGTATATTTGTTTGATCATTCATGGTCATAAAGTGATAATAAAATCCTGTTTGTTTATATATACCTATAATAAGGCTTACCTGTAGGTACAGTAAATATCTCCTAAACATGCCCTGTTGAGGGGATATATACTTGTATAGCAGCCGGTAACGTCACCAGTGCATGCACACTGTGTTCTCAATGGACTGCATGCTGTCCATTGAGGGATCTGTGCGAGGCTGTGACTGCCGCATGCATATGTGGGAGTAACGTCATCATGGCTCGGCCACTTAAGCGGCCGAGCTCACGAACCCAGAAAGAAGACAAGGTGAAGTTGGAAGCCCTGACAGCGCACCAGTGGGGGGCTTTGTTTTAAGTAAGTCCATTTACAATGCTATTATGTTCTTAGAGTGGTACTAAAAGTTCAGTTTTTTTGGTTATTTTTAAATAACCAACATGTCAAAATGACCTGCCCTGTGCAGTGGTTTTGTGCACAGATCAGCCCCAGTCCTCTGCTTTTTGGGTTCCCCACCGGCACCTCTGGATCCTCTACCTTGGCCAGTGCCCCAATAGCAAGCCGCGTGCTCACATCCATGCCCTGCTCTATATGTCCATAAGACACATAGAGCTGCCGTTTAGCCATGGTGCGACTGCATGGCAGGGTTGCAACTAGACTCAATATATGAGGCCATTCCACAGGTGCTCACAAATCCAGGCCGATGGTGGCTGATGAGGGTCAGAAGGCTGGAGGTGACCAAAGGCAATGCAGAAAAGGACCAGATGATTAGAGCTCCATTTCTCTCTTTTGCAAAGCAGAAGCAGCTGTGGAACTATGCTTCTTCTAAACCAGTGGTCTCCAAACTGTGGCTGGTGGGCCGAATGCGGCCCTTTGCTTGCCTGTTAGTGGCCCTTTGATCACTGTTCCTCACACTGATACAAGGTACTATTCCTCCCACAGAGACCAGTGATGGGGCTTTTTTCCTTCCACTGACACCAATGATGGGGCACTATTTCTCCCAATGACACCAGTTACACTTACTGACATCAACAGTGGGGCGCTGATCCTCCCACTGACACCAGTGATGGGGAAATGATCCTCCCACTGACACCAGTGATGGGGAAATGATCCTCCCACTGACACCAATGATGGGGCACTATTCTTGTTCCTACTAATACATTTTTTACTCTCACTGACAATCAAGCCTGAGGCATTGTCTACTCCTACTGACACTGGGGTATTTTCTGCTCCAGCTGGCCACAGTCCAGCCCTCCTATAATCTGATGGGTAGTAAGCTGGCATTTTGTTCATAACATTTGGGGACCACTGCTATAAACTGAATGGTGAGAAACAAAACGCACAACGCACTCCTGATCGTTCAGTCTTCAGTGTTAACCTTTTCCACAGTAAAACTGCCAGTGGAAGGAACTTTGATAGATGCCCAATGGTGGAAATAATGAGGTAGCTCCTGGTTTCAGAAACAGGGCAAGGGCTTAGGGCAATGTACATGGATCTGGACCTAGAAAAACACTCTGCAGCCAGCTTTTGCCAGTATTTGGTGTCTGGAAAGAGCCACAAGGGTATGCCAATGCCCAAAGGTCACTTCCAGGCTAGTCTTGCACTTCTAGTCCAGTGGGTCCAGGTACGGCTCTCCAAAGTCTAGTTGAGGAAAGGCCAATCTAGATAGCTATGTAAGTCCAGATAATTTTCAGCCATGTTTCTGCTTTTTCTTTTCACAGGTTGGTTGCTCTGCCCTAATATTCCCTGCCCAGTTTAAAACGCAAAGATATTATGAACTTTTGAGGAGTATTTGTCCGGAGATTGACACCTCACCAGCAGGGGGCATCAAGAGCAAGGCGTAAGTGTGCTCAGTTTGAGGTCATGTGACCATTGTGATTATACACGAATCAGATTTTGTCTGGTTCCTGATGAACTGGCCAAGATTCAAGCTGTGGGTGCTCCCCACCAACCCACACCCCCCTCATCCTTCAATCAGCTGCACTGGCTGTCAAAATACAATGGCAGGAAATTTGTCCATCCACACTATTCGGCATGTATGGAGGAATCTGCTAGATTTTGTTTCGGGTTGACCGAAAAAAAAAAAATCTATTGTATGGCCTCAGGTTACACAGATAATCAGATCTCTCTGCTACGGGGAAATTTAAAAGACCAGTATAGCTTAGGGTGTATTCATACCTGCGAATGGACCCGCACTCCGATTAGATGCAAGAACCCCAGTGGGGGGTTCCCACGATGACCTGTGGGAGGCAGCCCCTATTGAATGCAATGGGTGGCTGTTGGCTCCTGCAGCCAATTGTGGCCGCTCACATTTAGTCACTCATTCAGCGGTCCCATGCGAGATTGCCTGCGTCCAGGGCTGGTCAATCGCATATGATCTCTGTATGAGTGATTACATGTGAGTGGCCGCAATTAGCTTTGGCAGCCTCCCACTGTTTTTAATAAGGCTGCCGCTGGGGTTTCCGCATCCTATCGGGGTGCAGGTATATTCAAAGGTGTGAATGCATCCTTATGCTGCTGTATTTTGGTAGCTCTATGGGTATAATGTAATGATAGTATGCAATTAATTTCTTTTTTTTTTTCACTGATATTTATATATGTTAACATACAGGCCAAGCTGTCCAGGAAAAGTTTCGGTTAGAGGGTTGGGATAAATTATATATCACTGTCAGGGGTTATGATGCTGGTCAGCATTGATTCATATGGCTAAAACCTTTTTTTCTGAAAGAAAACCTGTTGCTGTACTTGCCTAAAAAGTGTTAGCTGGAGTTGGGAATTCATTTGTTTGTCTCCAACTGAAGATCACCCTGTCCACATAGTGACAACGCTGCTGTGCGAGTTCAGTGCAGAACAAACAGTAGACATGTAATAGTTCCTATTATGGGATGTAGAAAAATAATGGATATATTAGCCGGATTAACAGGTTATACAACTACAGTATGTTATGAGGGGGCTCAGAAAAAGAAAAACTGCCGTGTTGGGCCCCATTCACATGGATGTTCCTATCTCTACTATATTGCTTATTACCCACTTAGGGTACTGCCAGCATTGCCCAAAGTTTGCTCCTAATCAGGAACATTAGCATCCATTATTATATCTCACCACTGTCCATATTTATACTGCATACTTCTTTGCGCTTTGCAATACAAATTGCTTTTAGGTTTTAATAGTGTTTTAGGTGGTTGTGTATGATATTCACTATCAATGCTTATCAGTGTTGCATATTGGTGCAGCCAATTACCTGTTCTGTGTAATAGTTTTGCACAGAGCAGCCCCAATCCTTCTTTTCTTGGGTCCCCCCGCCACCACTCCTGGTCCCTCCCACCCACTGAGTGCCCCCATAGCAAGCCACTTGTAGCACAGTGTAGTCCCATCAGTGCCAACTAATATTGGCCATCAATGCTTGCTATTAGTGCCCTTTAATGCTTGCTATTAGTGACCATCAGTGCTTGCTAACAGTGTCCGCTATCAGTGCCCATCAGTACAGCCTATCAATGCCCATCAGTGCTGCATATTGGTGCAGCCTCATCAGTGCCCATCAGTGCAGCCTATCAGTGCCCATCAGTGCTGCATATTGGTGCAGCCGCATCAGTGCCCATCAAGTGCAGCCCAGGGGCGGACTGACCATTTGGAAAGTAGGACACTGCCCGAGGGCCCGGGGGTCAGTAAGGGGGCCCCATGAGATGCCCCCAGTACCTTTTTTAGGCTTTTTTGAAAGGACACAGGGGCCCCATGATCCCCTATTGCCCGGGGGCCCGATGAGTTGTCAGTCCGCCCCTGGTTCATCAATGAAGGAAAAAAAAAATCGCTTATTTACAAAACTTGAGACCAGAAACAAGAAAACTTTTTTTTTTTAAATGTGGTCTTTTTTCTTTGTTTAGCAAAAAATAAAAACCCCAGTGGTGATTAAATACCATCAAAAGAAAGTTCTATGTTATTATAAAAATTTTGTTTGGGTGCAGTGTTGCATGACTGCGCAATTGTCATTCAAAGTGCGACAGCACTGAAATCTGAAAATTGGCCTGGGCAGGAAGGGGGTGAAAGTGCCCTGTAGGGAAGGGGTTAATACTAGTGACAGTCTGCATTATGTTTGAAATTTTTGATTTTATTCAAAGTTCTGCCTTTCATCTACAGTAATTGTTGCTATCAAACCACTCAGACAGTTTCTGGCGCTGACCAGGGGCGGACTGACCATTTGGAAACTCGGGCACTGCCCGAGGGCCCGGGGTCAATAGGGGGCCCCATGAGATGCCCCTGGTACCTTTTTCATAGGCTTTTTTGAGTTTGGGCAAGGACACAGGGGCTCCATGATCCCCTATTGCCCAGGGGCCCCATGAGTTGTCAGTCTGCCCCTGGCGTGGACAGTTTCATAAATGTGGTTCTTGGTTGCCATACCTCAGGCTCCGAGAAATTGGACCCCTGCGGTCAGTGAATCTTTCAATGAAAAGGAGGTTGTAGGGCACATCTGCCTCAGAGACCTTCAGGTGTGGAACATGTCAGCTGGAAGAAGGCACTAGATCAGCACTTCCAAGAATTGAAGCCGACTCTTAAGGCTGGCCATACACTATACAATTTTCTTGAGAATTTTGCTTTAGATTCACCAAAAGCAATATAATATGAGGTCACACCTAAACAACACTTTCAATTGTATCCAATTAGCCAGGCCCTTGCACTACATAGTTGAAGTTAAATCTAAAGGAAATTGGACAGAAAATTGTATAGTGTATGGCCGGCCTTAGGGCTAGTTCACACTAGATGCAGTTCAGTGCGCTTTTTTCTCCATCAAAAATGCATGCACAGTGTTTTCCATGTATTCCAATGGCCCTGGTTCACACTAGTGCTGTCAGTTCCATTCAGTTTCCGGTGCAGAAAAAAAAGTAGAACATGCTGCATTTTTTCTGCACAGAACTGTACTGGAACATAGCAAACTGCATCCAAACTGCGCCGGAACTGCATGTGGCGTGAACTGTAAGCAAAAACATATCCGGAATGTATCCGGCGTGCGTTTTTGTGATGTGAACTGGCCTAAATGTGAGCAAGAAGGAAGCAAGATGGCGCTTCTAAATGCAGTATTTTCAAATGTTTAATAAACGGAACGGTTAAAACCTCTTACAAGAAGTATGTAAGGCTCAAGCATGTAAATAGCGTCGGTGCAGGGCTCCTGTCACTAGGTTCTGGATCTCGCTGTGCAGACCAGCAGCTGCAGGGGGGGCTCAGGTAGCAGTGTCAAGATGCCCGCCACTCTTCCTGGACCGCCATGGAACGTGCGCCGCCCGAGTCGAAAGGAAAGGGCTGGAAGTGATGTCATTAGTGGGCGGTGACAAGTTTCGCAGCATGCGCAGATCATTACTTCATCAAGACCGTGAGTCACAGTGAACAGAGCCAAGTTAAATAGGGGGAGGGGGCAGGGGCGAGCTGGTGCCAAGGGGGAGGGGTCATGCCCATACATGTCAACCATAGTAAAGCCAAGGACAGATTGTGGGACAGAAAAACAGTGACAAGATCCCTGCTTAATGAATGGCTAATGTGAATAGGATACCGAGAACTATAAATTACAAGCTATCCCTGAAGAAGTCACGTGATACATGACGCAACGCGTCCGATGGAAGCGTGGTGATGCTTCAACCAATCTCTAGCTTGGGGGTGTAATATATCAAAAGGGTAAAAACCCTCTTCCAGCAAATTAGACAGGGAGTATGAAAGATGGTGGCGGCCATCGCCGCACCAGAAATGACATCACCATGCTTCTGTCCGACGCGTTGCGTCATGTATCACGTGACTTCTTCAGGGATAGACACACCGCCTCGTCTCTGCCCTCTCCCTCTTTTTAACTTGATGAAGAAGCAATCTGCGCATGCTCCGAAACACGTCACCACTATTGACGTCACTTCCGACCCATAGATTCCACGTGGACGGCGTGCGTTATAGGAAGAGCTGCCTCTTTACACTGCTACCTAAGCTCCCCTGCAGCTGCTGGTTGGCACAGTGAGATCCAGAACATAGTGACAGCAGCCCTGCGCCTTTTGATAAACATTTGGAAATACTGCATTTAGAAGCGCCTTCTGGCTTCCTTCTTAATCTTTCAGTGAATTTACGTCTCTTTCAGTTGTTTATTGTTTTTTTTTGTGTGTCTGACAGACTTCCAGATTTCCGCATTGCGATAGTCTTGGACAAGAAGTACCCGGGTGCTTTCCACTATGACGAAGTGATGAATGCCGGGACCACTCAACATGTGAAGCAGCTGCATGATATACAGAAGACCGTGTCATCTGAAGACCCCATCAATATCCAGTTCACCTCTGTAAGTTCTCATACGACCTGTGACTGTTTAAGCCTAGGTTTACAGTAGTGCTGCTGCGTAATCATGCATTTTCGGTGCGTTTTTGTAGCATGTTTTTTGCATTTTCTTTTTTTTGGAAGAGAGGGTTGTTAAAGGTGATATTAAAGGCTCAGTTTTTATTTTTTAAAAATAGCAAACAGGTTATACTTACCTGCTCTGTGTAATGGTTTTGCACAGAGTAGTCCCAATCCTTCTTTTCTCGGGTCTACTGCTACCACTCCTGGCCCCTCCCACCCACTGAGTGCCCCCATAGCAAGCCACTTGCTATGGGGTCACTTGTACGTGCTTGCTCCTGAGCAGCGCTCTGTGTGTCCCTTGACATGGCTCCACTTCCCCATTACCTCATTTGCTGTGATTGACAGCAGCAGGAGGAGGTGGCCAATTGTCCTTTCTGTTGCATCCAGAGGGCAGGAAGTAAAGGGAAATTTCTCAAATAGGACACAGATGGCAAAAGAACCCAACAGGGGTTTTATCATTTCTGCTCTGTCCAGAGTGGGAAAATGTTTTGGTTTTAAATGTACCTTAAGAACACTATATTGGAGTTTGTTGAAAGGTTTTTTTTCTTAGTAATTTTTTATGCTTTAATTGAATCTAACATTTAAAGAAGAACTCTGGGACAGGCAAAAAAAAAAATCACCCATTAGTACACCCCCCTACCCAAAACAGTAAACAGTTAATACAATTTTGAAAATCCATACCATTTAGGAGAAAAATCTAATTGAATTTTCATGACCTCATCTCTGTAATTCAAAAGATGACAGCATCTGTTCTGCCAAAGAGGAGGTGTAACAGCCGGTATTACATCATATCCTCTCCTCTCTTTCTCTGCAGTAAAAGGAAACTACAGGTCCCATCAACCACAGGGAATTGTAGTAAATGTGGGCGGGTACACTAGGCCTGTACATGTTGAATGTGTCTGAGAGTCTCGGTCTGCCCACCTCTGGAAAAGAGCTGAATTACATCACTGCTTCCTGGAAAAAGAACTACAGCAGGGATGTGCCAAGACCAGTGGCTGGGGAAAAGGAGGCAGAGCAGCCATCAGTCTTTATTTACACTTCCTGGGATTTTTTTTTTACAAAAAACATGTAGCAGAATACATTTTGTTCTAAACTTATGAAAAAATTAGATTTTTTAAAATGTTATTGGATATGTTTTATAGCAAAATGTAAAAAATATTGTTTTTTTTTTTTTATTTTTAGTCTTTTTTTTTCATTTATATAATAAGTAACCAAGTGGTGATCGGCATTGCGCTACTTTAACTGTCAATTGCACGTTCATGCAACGCTGTACTCAAATTAATATATATTCATATCATTTTTTTCACACAAATAGTTTTTTTTTCTTTTTGCTGGCATTTGATCACCACTGCTTTTTTTTTTTATTTTTTATCAGATGGAAAATTTTTGGGGGAAAAAAACAATATTTTTTACTTTCTGCTATAAAACATAAAAAATCTAAAAAAAACAAATGTCGTCATAAAATTTAGGCCAAAATGTATTCTGCTACATGTCTCTAGTAAAAAAAAAAAAATCCCAATAAGCATATATTAAGTTTGCGTGAAAGTTTTAGTGGCTACAAAAATGGTATACAGTATATATAATAGAATTTTTTTTTTTCTTTTTCATACTAATAATGGTGATGATCAGCGACTTATGGTTGGACTGTGTGGCGGGCAATCTGACACTAATTGACACTTGGGTGGAACTGACTAACTGACACTGACATCTCCAGTGCCATTAATGCAGTGATCAGTGCTGATGCTGTACACTGTCACTGTACTAATGACACTGGCTGAGAAGAGGTTAACATCTCGGGTAATCAAGGGGTTAAGTGTGTGCCTAAAAGGTGTTAATGTGTGCTGCTTTTTACTTAAAGCGGAGCTCCACCCAAAAGGGGAAGTTCCACTGCTCCCCTGCTCCCCATTAAGGATTGGCACCTTTGGGGGGCGCGGGTACCCAAATTTGACAGGTACCCGCTACCACTTCTGGTCCGATCTCCTAGACAACCGGAAGCGGAAGGTGTCCTCCCTCCCCGTAGTCTTTTGGGACATGTGACAGGTCCCAGAAGACTACAGGAGCATTCATACTCACGCTTGCACACACAATCAATATATAAAATAAATACATAAATAAATTAAATATTAATAATGACATAAATAAATAGTGATGATAAATATATTTATATAAATAAATGAATAATAAATTAACCCCTAACCTTAACAAAATAAATAATAAACACCAGGAAGAAGAGGAGGAAGCAGATGAAAAAAGCTAAAAACATTGTAACAAATGATGAAAGAAATGATATTTTTCTCTGTTGGTTCATAAAATAACAAAGTTCAAAAACACTTTAAAAACATGCAACAAAAATCCTCAAAAAATGCCCCAAAATACAAAACTCAGGTGTGAATGGAGCCTTAGGCCTTAGACTCCAAAGTCGTGTGATTTCCGTTGGGACGTTACATTGCAACTTTGATACAATTTTGGATGGGTGCAACTTGGATGCGTCTTTGTCGACTTTTGACTTTGGCTGTTGCACAACTTTCTCATTGATAACATTAAGATGTGACTTTCATGCGACTTTTGAGAGGTTACATTTCAGTCTGTCGTATGAAAGTAGCACAGGAACCTTTTTATAAATTTTGCTGCAACTTTAAGTCATATAGATTTGAATGGCTTCCATTGAAATACACGGTCTGCGACACAAGTGTGACTGGTGCCTTATAGTGTGGTGCTTCAATTTTAGGGCTGGTTCACACTATAGAAACGCAGTCCAGATGCGTTTCTGCGTGTGTGTTTTTGACGCATTTTTGGTGCGTTCCGGTGCGATTTTGATGCTTTCCGGTTCATTTTTTGCCCTCTCTTTTTGTTTTTCAATTTAAATAGAGACGTGCATTCCAGTGTGAATCTGGTGCGTTCCGGTGCGTTTTTGATGCGTTTTACTGCATTCCAGTACAGTTATGTGCAGGAAAAATGCAGCCTGTTCTACTTTTTTTTCTGCAACTGGAACGCACTGGACCTGCAAGCACTGATGTGAACTATGACATTGACAACCATATAACCTACTTTCTGTGTGGTCTGCATGCAGAAAAAAAGCAACTGAAACGTATGTAGTGTGAACTGGCCCTTATGCAGGCCATAGATGGGTCGAAAATCGGCCGATTTTTTTTGGCTGAAAAAAAAAAAATTGCCGGATTTTCGGATTGTTAGTGGGTTAACAGGTTGGCCGTTTTTTCGGGATTTTGGCACATTTTTTTTTATCGGTAAAGTTGGAAATAAATCGGCCAATTTTCACGGCAATGATGGGCAAATCGGCCGATCTTTTTACCAATAAAAATATCTGCGCATGAGCCGTGACCTGCAAGAAGGAGAAATAGAAGAAGAAGATGAAAAAGAAAAAGAAGAAATAGAAGAAGAAGAAAAAGAAGAAGAAATAGAAGAAGAAGAAGAAAGAAGAAAAGATGAAAAAGAAGAAGAAGATGAAAAATAAGAAATAGAAGAAGAAGAAAAGAAGAAGAAATAGAAGAAGATGAAAAAGAAGAAGAAGAAAAATAGAAGAAGAGGAAGAAATAGAAGAAGATGAAAAAGAAGAAATAGAAGAAGAAGAAAAGAAGAAGAAATAGAAGAAGAAGAAAAGAAGAAGAAGAAGACATAGAAGAAGAAAAAGAAATAGAAGAAGAAGAAGAAAAAGAAGAGGAAGAAATAGAAGAAGAAAAAAAAGAAGAAGAAATAGAAGAAGAAGTAAAAGAAGAAGAAAAAAGAAGAAGAAGAATTAGAAGATGAAGAAATAGAAGTAGAAGAAAAGGAAGAAGAAATAGAAGAAGAAAAAGAAGGAGAAATAGAAGACGAAGAAATAGAAGAAGAAATAGAAGAAGAAGAAAAGGAAGAAGAAGAAATAGAAGAAGAAATAGAAGCAGAAATAGAAGAAGAAAAAGAAGGAGAAATAGAAGTTGAAGAAATAGAAGAAGAAAAGAAGAAGAACAGAAGAAGAAAAAGAAGAAGAATTAGAAGATGAAGAAATAGAAGAAGAAGAAAAGGAAGAAGAAGAAATAGAAGAAGAAAAAGAAGGAGAAATAGAAGACGAAGAAATAGAAGAAGAAATAGAAGAAGAAGAAAAAAAGAAGAGAAGAAATAGAAGAAGAAATAGAAGAGGAAAAAGAAGGAGAAATAGAAGTCGAAGAAATAGAAGAAGAAGAAACAGAAGAAGAAGAAGAAACAGAAGAAATAGCAGAAGAAACAGAAGAAGAAGAAAAGAAGAAGAAGAAAGAAAAGAAGAAATAGAAATAGAAGAAACAGAAGAAATAGAAGAAAAAGAATAAGAATTCCAGTCCGCTATTATATTTGACATGAAAAAGTATTGCGGTTACATCAATGTATCTATTTGTATCCTAATAAAAACATCTGCATCCGAAATGGATACAAATAGATACAATGTTGTAACCGCAATACTTTTTCATGTCAAATATAATAGCGGAGCTCTCTGCAAGGGACAGAAGTAAAAATGCCGGCTGTAGATGGGATGAAAATCAGCCGTTTTTTTTTTTGGTTTTTTTTGGTAACGTCGGCCTATTGAACGACCGATTTTTCTGTTTTTTGTTAAGAAAAGGGGCCGGTTTTCGACCCATCTATGGCCTGCATTAGACTTGTTCAAGAATTAGATGTCGGCAGAAATTGTAACCCTTCTCCACTCCATCCAAAACTGAAACAAAATTCTGGGCAGGAGTTAGGAAATGTCTAAATATTAAAATGAATAAATAAACTGACCCCAAACCATATAGTTTCCTATTAAAATGTGTCTCCCTCCCGGTAGAATATTGTCACCCTCGGACGTGTTGATGTTCTTTTTTACTGACTCTTTCATATAACCCGCACTGACATTTTTTCCACTGGACTGTGTGCCTGCCAGGCTGGCATATTTGTTGGCGCACACAGAAGCAATTATAAATAGAACACACACAAATAGTTGCTTCACAAGCAGAGCTAAATTTTCCACCCGGGCTCAACAATGAGGGTCATGGACATCCAGCGGTGACGTCTATTCATGTGGATATATACAGCCAAGTCTTCTTATAACAGAAGATATCGCTTCCATGACACTTCCAATAAATAAGGGTTTACGACCAGGGGCGGACTGACCATTTGGAAACTCGGGCACTGCCCGAGGGCCCGGCGTCAGTAGGGGGCCCCATGAGATGCCCCTGGTACCTTTTTCATAGGCTTTTTTGCGTTTGGACCCCGTGATCCCCTATTGCCCGGGGGCCCCATGAGTTGTCAGTCCGCCCCTGGTTACTGCTCATTCACATGGTAAGTAAAAACTCGGATGGTTGAGCCATGGTTTTACTGCCCACCTAAACTAGGACATGCAGCGACTCAGCGCTGTGCACATGCCACGGCAAAAATTAAACAGCATGCAGTACCACCACTAAAACGTGACCCATTCATGTTAATGCCACTGCACCAAAACCGCCCTGCAGTCGCATGCATAGTCTGGCTGAAAAAAGACAAAAGTCCATCCAGTTCAACCATTAAAAAAAAAAAAGTTATAATCCTACACCCACAGTTGATCCAGAGGAAGGCAAAAAAAAACAGCAAAGCATGATCCAATCTGCTCCTGCAGGGAAAAAAATTTGTTCCTGATCCCCCGAGAGGCAATCGGATATTCCCTGGATCAACATTACCTATAAATGTTATATCCAGTTATATTCTGTGTATCTAATGCAATGCACATGGTGGGTCAGAACTTTGCAGGTAAAAGCAAGTGGTGAGGAAGTGACATATTGCCTCCTCATCACCTGTCAAATGCCTTCTGGAAAGCAATTCACCAAGGATCACTTTTCAGAGAGTTGGCAGTATAGCCGCGTGTGTGAACGAGCCCTTAAAGTGACCCAGAACTAAAAAAATGGTGCCACTCAAGGCTCCACCAGGTCTTCTTCTGTGGCAGATCGCTAGGAGTGCAGGCAAGGATGGAGCTCGGCTCCGCTTCAGAAAAAAGCCCTATAAGACGCACAGCTCTGTAACACTCTGTAGATAGATGTATGGCAGCCTCAGCCCGGGCTCCAACCAGGCTACGCCTCCAACGCATTTCAGCCCACCCCTGGAGCTTAGTCTTGGAATCCCCATAACTAAGCTTTGGGAGCAGGGCGAAACGTGTTGGGCTGGGTCTGGCTGGAGTCCGAGCTGAGGCTGTCATACATCTATCAAGGGGTGGACTGACCATTTGGAAACTCGGGCACTGCCTGAGGGCCCAGGGTCAGTAGGGGGCCCCATGAGAAGCCCCTGGTACCTTTTTCATAGACTTTTTTGAGCTTGGGCAAGGACACAGGGGCCCCATGATCCCCTATTGCCCGGGGGCCCCATGAGTTGTCAGTCCGACCCTGCATCTATCTACAGGGTTTTACAGAGATGTGCATCTTATAGTACATTTTTCCTGTCCACTTGAGCCCTCAAAGTGTCTCTCCATCCAGAAATTGCCAAAGTGCCCAAAGGAATGTTTCCCCATACATATGATCATTGACAATATGTTCTGTTTTCACAGCCTTAGATCACATATCTATTTTACTCTTTAATCCTACTGGTGTCCTGAATATCTTCTTAAGGCGGTATTAAACCCAAAACCAAAAATGTAATATATTGCAGACTACCAATATTCAATGTGGCTGCATTAGTTTTCTTTTTTCATGATTTTTCCCCCTTGTTTTCACCTGGTGATCTGCCCAGTAACACACCTCCTGTATTAGTGAGACAGCATGTAGATGAAGGAGCACAGGGAGCACCTTTGGATAGCAGCATTGTCAGTCTGTAGGGGAGTGTTAAATGTACTAGCAGATTTAAATACACTAACAAATTGAAGCCAAACTCCAGCTCACACTTTATAAGCAGTTATAGCAAACTGTTTTTTTTTCCTTTTGGGATAAAGGTTTCACGTAAATAAAAGCTGAACATTGTAAGGACCCCTACCAGTGTTAAATGTCTGTAACTGCTACATTCTGTTGGAGAGCTTGTGCTTTTAAAAAGCAACAGACTTTCTGGCTGGATCACCAGATGGAAATAGATGAAAGAAAGCCCTAAAAAAGAAAATGAGCGCAGCTATCACATCTACGAATTGGTAAGCTGCGATATAATAAATATTTGATTTTGGGTTTAATACTGCTTTAATAAAATGCCGGACCAAAAATGGAGATCATATGCTTTTGAAGTGGCTGATCCCCCCACCCCCCATCATTGCCAGGACCCAAAAGCAGGGCTGCCCTATTATTTTTGAAAACCCTTGGGCATGTCTGAGGTCTCCTCCATTACCCAGGGACAAGGGTACAGCCTCAAGCACAGACAACGTGCGTTCAAGGCCATGCATCCGTCTCTGTGGGTTTGACAGACTTGGAGGTGTGGGTGAGCCTGTCCAACCGGGGTATCTCCATTGACTTACATGGGCTGCCTGCAGGCAGCTCTGCGCTGCTCCACATTCATAGACAGATCTGGAGAAGCCTTTTCAAAGTTGCTGTGACTTTGAAAAGGTTCCTGCACTTCTTTGATGCGACTTTGAGTGTAAAGTCGCATCAAAGTCACTCAATACTTTTCTATTGTTTTTTTTTGTGCGTTTTTTTTTGCGTTTTGAGTCTTTCGGTCAATGGGTTTTAGAATTTTTCCAATAGGAAAGTACTGAAGGAGACTTTAAAACAACTTTACACTCTCTGGAACTCAAATTATATCAAATTAGTGCAGGAACATTTTCAAAGTTGCTGTGACTTTGAAAAGGTTCCTGCACTTCTTTGATGCGACTTTGAGTGCCAGAGAGTGTAAAGTTGCTTTAAAGTCTCACTCAGTACTTTCCTATTAGAAAAATTCTAAAACCCATGTTCAAAAACACTAAACGCACCGCAAAACACGCTAGAAACACGCATCAAAACTATATAGTATTATATAACATAATATATACATATATATTAAATATATTTATTATTTATTTATTTGAGGTACTTATATCGCATCAATTTACGCAGCTCTTTACATATATATTGTCCATTCACATCAGTCCCTAACCCTCAAGGGGCGTACAATCTAAGGTCCCTAAATCACATTCATACATACACATACTAGGGACAATTTAGACAGGATTCAATTAACCTACCAGCATGTCTTTGGAGTGTGGGAGGAAACCGGAGTACCTGGAGGAAACCCAAGCAGGCACAGGGAGAACATGCAAACTCCAAGCAGGTGGTGCTGTGGTTGGGATTCGAAACAATGACCCTAGTTCACCTTTATACTGCATTATATTTGGCCAAGTAGATGACAAATCATTGTACTGTTCACAAAAATGTTCCACCTTTACAATCTAACCTGTTGGCCAGCCTGCCCGGTCATAATCGTTGTAGCCAGTGTACTTATACTACCCTAAAATTAAACTAAACTAGGACAGACAGACTGTTGGGGTGTTTCAATACAAATACTGCCCCTTCCACTTGGGTTGTCGGGCCCTTGAATTGTAGTGTGATTACTGGGCAAAGAAACACAATGCTGGGCAATTATCCGCGTGGTGTCCAGGGCAGTTTTGACATTTTTCAAACATAAAAGTTAAAAATCAGACTTTTTTTTTTGCTAAAAAAAAAATATTTAAAAACCATACAAACATGATGTATTTTCTGACAGCAGAGGCCCTGGAGAAAAAAAAATGGTGGTTGCAATTTTCGCAAATGCAAATTTTTAGCAAAAAGTACACATAAATGAATTTTAGTGCACACAAACACAATAGAATACCCAATTATTTGGTAAAATATAATAAACGTTGATGCTGCATTGAGTAGAGATACCAAACAAAATTAAAATTGTTGCACGCCTGTGAAATGGCAACAAATGATATCTAAAATTCTCCAATTGAACAAGACCCTGTGTGAAAGCTTTGGGCAGTGACAGGAAAGCTTTATGGAGCCATCAGGAGTCTATTAGACCCCTGATATCTCCCCTGCCATTCAAAGCATCTGATCAAACACAGACTGTGTTTGATCATATATATAAATTTTGGGGGTTCTAGGTAATTTTCTAGCTAAAAAATGATCATTTTGACACGTAGGAGAAAATGTCATAATTGGCCCGATAGACAAGTGGTTAATAAAAACTGCAGATTTAACTAATAAAAAAAAATGACTTTAAATTACGTTACTGAGTTAAAGTGCTGGCTTTGGGTGCATGTCAGATGCCACAACATGGGAAGCAATGTCTGATCCTTTTCTGTCCTGATTATTCTTCTTCCTATTAATTTGCTCTTATCCTGTCTTAGGGAACCACTGGATATCCCAAAGGAGCCACTCTGAGCCATCACAACATTGTGAATAATGCGCAGTTTGTGGGGGCGAGGCTGGGGTACGGCTGGAGAGAGGTGCGTGTCAGAGCATACACAGAATAGACATCATCACGTCTTAGATTTCAACTAGAACTGACTTGTCTCTTTGCTGTTCCCCAAGGACTTCCGTGTCGCTCTTCCTGTGCCGCTGTACCACTGCATGGGCTCTGTGCTAGGCAGCCTGACATCCATAATTTATGGTCCCACTTTGGTCTTACCCTCTCCAAGCTTTCAAGCCCGAGCTGTGTTGGAGGCCGTTTCGAAGGAGAAGTAGGTTTCAGATTTTTTTTTTATGTCAGCTGGTGTGTCACTTATTACATTAAGGGCAAGTTCACACCAGGACTTGTGTTCTGCATGCGTTTCCTGCACCGAGTTCAAAACGCAATCTACAGTGGATGTCAGTGTCAATGACACCCCAAATGCAGGTTGCAAACGCAGTGTGTTCACCTGCACCGGATCACATGGTACTGTACCATGCAATCCAGTTGCTCTGCGTTTTTAAAGTAGTGCATGCAGGACGTTTGGTGCAATCTGGAGTGATTTCAGCCCGTTCAAAGGATTGGGCTGAAATAACACTGCATCCGGATCACATGTGAATCGCACAAGAATACAAAGTGCATTCCTGTGCATTTCATGTTGTGAGCCGGCTCTAAAGTAGATGTCTATCCAAGAATATTTTTGGGTGTACATCTACTGGTATTCTGCATTCCTGGCATTCGTCTTTGAATGGATAGTGCCCAGACAGCGGTCAGCCCCATCCAGCTGCAGCATATTTTAGTGAGCGGGGGACTAAACCATACTCTGTGTGTCCCATGGACACACAGAGGCTGCTGGAGAGCAAACATGCATGAGTCCAGGGCAATACACTGACCACCAATGTAAGGTAGTACTACACTGACTACCAATGCAAGCTGCTTGTTCTGGGGGCACTCAGCGAGGGGGAGGGGCCAGAAGCGTTAGCAGGGGACCCGAGAAGAGGAGGATCGGCGCTGCTCTGTGCAAAACCACTGCACATAGCAGGTAAGTATGACATGCTTGTTATTTAAAAAAATTGGAACCTTTAGAATAACTTTAAGGTGGTCCTTGGATTTTGGGCCTCTCTATGTGACTAGACTGTGTAAAGTCTCGCATGTGGTATCGCCAGGGCTGGTGCAAGACTATTATGCGCCCTAGTCAAGACCAACTACTTGCACCCGCCCCCACCTTCCCCCCAAAAAATAAAACTTCAAAATTATTTTCATAAGTCCGTTAGAAACCAGCAACATCTGCGGCAGCCATCATCAGAGTATGCCAGCTCTGTATGTGGAAGACAGGAAGAAGACAAGGGGAGGCTCCACTAAGTACAGTATTAAAAGACCAGTTTAATAAACAATCGGTGTTAAACATTTAAAAGAAAGAAATAAAATCGATAATAGTCACCGTCAGTCCTTCCCGTCGTAAGGATCAGCCAGTGTGGGTCTGGAGCCGTCGATGGAGAGACGGGGAGATGAAATGCCTGAGCTGGCACATGAAGCGGATGTGACGTCACGGTGCCTTGGAGGATATGCTACGCACTTGAAGCTCTCTGCTACTTCTAGAGGTCTGGAAGCACACTCCTATATCCCACTACTTTTGGGTACAGCAGCGGCTAAGCAGACTACAGATACCAGCATGACTTTTTTGTGCAACAATTCAATTAAATAAAGTAGAAAAAGAGAAGGTGAACATAAAATGTAGAGGTAAAAACACTATGTGATACAATTCTCAGCAAGCAGGAGAGTAGGGAAACCAGTGGCTGTGGCTGTGGCTGTGCCCTAGATGGCTGCCTAGTTCGCATACTGGCAGCACCAGCCCTGGGTATCACCGTACCAGGGAGGAATAGTGGAATATGTTTTCAGGTTTAATCCTAAGAATGTCTATGCTGTATGTTAAGAATAGCTCTTTAATTGACAACTTTTTGTAAAAAAAAAATATTTTCATGTTCTTTGCATTTTTCAAAAACGTATAGAAAAATAAAATGATGTCTTCAAAAGACTCGCCATGCGTCTTTGAAAATACCTTGGGGTGTTTTCTTTCCAAACTGTCATTTCATGGGGGTTTTCACTGTCCTGTTGCTTCAGGGCCTCCAAAAATGTGATATCCCCATATCAGGGGAGGTAGCAGAATCTTTTTGGTGTATAATTCTAAGTATGTCTAAGCTGCATGTGAGAAATAACTTATATGTCAACTTTGTAAAAAAAAAAAAACATTTCATTTTTTCACTTTCAAAAAAATTGTGGCAAAAATGTACAACTTCAAAAAACTCACAATGCTTCTTATTAAATACGTTGGTTGACTGTCTACTTCCCAAAAAGGGGTCATTTGGGGGTTATTTGTACTGTCCTGGTGATTTAGGGCTCGTTCACACTTGACTGTTTTACCAACTCTTGCCAACGCCCCTATAACGTTTGGCAAGCATTGGTCCGATGTTTGCGTAGCGTTTTTTTACGCTCGGCAAATGCAACGCAAACTCCGCATGTGTGGTTTTTTTTTTTTTTAAATTTAAATATTTATTTATTTTCCATATAATATACACATTTCTTCATCATTTTCATATACAAAAAAAAAAACATTTTCCAAACCTTTAAATACTTTCCTACCCCTAATTTATTCCCTCAGCGACCCCCAACCCACTCCAAAAGCCCACCCACCCCCTAAAATATCCCCATTGCCCATTAATCCTCCCCCTCTGCATATTTCTAATGACTTTTTTTTTTTTTCCTAATTAGAATATACAAGTTCTTCCTCCTCTTCCTAAGTTGTTACTTCGTGGATCTTGCTACAAAATCTTCCCATGTTCTCCACTTCTTAAAAAATAGCCCCATCTTGTCTTCTTGCATATAATATAATTTCTCCATCTTACATGTCTGATTTGTTCTTTCTACCCAATCCTCCTCCCTCGGTATCTCTGGTCTATGCCAAAACCTAGGAATCAGACCTTTTGCCGCGTTCAAGTAATGCCATACACCCGAGTCTTTATATCTATTTACTGGTAGATCTGTACAATGTAATAGACACACCTCTGGGTTCAATCCTATTTTTAACCCAGTGATTGTCTCAATTAATTGGACTATTTTCTCCCAGAAGGCTTGTATCATTGGGCACTCCCACCATAGATGATATAAGGTAAATATTCTTCCACATCCCCTCCAACACTCTGAAACCTTTTCCCCGTTCATCCTGTGTTCCACGTTCGGTGCAATGTGCCACCTCGTTAAACATTTATAATTAACCTCCACCTCTCTCATACTTATGTTCTCGTGTATCAATCTATATATTTTCCCTTGTTTATCCTCATATCTATCTCCATTACCAGATCTCTTTCCCATTTTGCTATATACATTGGCTTTGTTTGTGTGACTAACTCGGTGAGAATCTTATATACCTTAGCTGTGCCCCGTTTCCCTTCTCCACGTGTATCCAACAACCTCTCAAACGAGTTCCAATCCTTTCTCATTCTCAAAGGTTTCGGAAGATTTCTAACAAAGTGTTTTAACTGGTGATATCTCCACTCATCTATTTTAATAAAAAGTTCTCTTTTATCTTTTTTCAAATCCTCAAGTGTTCTCAACTGCTGTCCATCCATAATATCTCTCAGTTGAATATCCTCTTTCCTAAACCATTTACCCATACTCTCCTCCCTACCTGGGGGAAAAAAATCTGTGTTCCTAAGTGATATTAATTGTGAATTGAAATCCCATTTCATATATTTGTGCAAAATTATCCCACACCTTTAAAACATTTAATGTGAAAACACTCGTGGAATCTTTTAAACCTCTATACTTTGCTGGGACCCATATACTTTTACTCAGGGTAGTTCCGCTTAATTCATTCTCAATCGCAACCCATCTTTTCCCCTCTGGGTTATGTGTCCAGTCATACGTTCTCGCTAGGATTACAGCTCTATAGTACCTCTTAATATCAGGCAATCCCAAGCCTCCCTTCTCCTTATTTCTACTCAACAGGTCGTATGATATTCTAGGTTTTTTGTTTTTCCATATATATATCTTATTAGCATCTTTTTTATTACTTTAAAGAATACATCCGGGATTTTAACTGGGACCATCTGAAATTTATATAGGATTTTAGGTACAATTACCATTTTTATCAGGTTTATACGCCCTATCCAAGACGGGTTACCTCTTCCCAATTTCCTTAGTTCCTCCTTGATCTCATTTAAGAGTGGGATATAATTTAGCTTATATAGGTTCGTAAATGAAGCAGATAATTTAACCCCTAAATACTTTATCTCTCTGTTCTTCCATATAAAAGGGAATTCTTTTTGTATTTTTTTCTTTTTTCACTACTTGGGAGATTAACGTTTAAAATCTCAGTTTTTGATGGATTAATTTTCAGGTTTGATAACTCCCCATATTCCTTTAAGATCTTCATTAAGTTGGGAAGTGTTATCCTCGGATTTCCCACATAAAACAACAGGTCATCTGCAAAAGCTGCCACTTTATGATCTTCTCCTCCTATTTGCACCCCTGTTATATCTATATATTCTTCCTAATTGTTGCCAGCAAAGGTTCCAACGACAGCACATACAATAATGGGGACAGTGGACATCCCTGTCTAGTTCCATTTGACATTCCTATAGTTTCCGACCTCTCCCCATTAACCACAATGACCGCGGAAGGTTCTCTGTACAACTTTCCTATCCACTCTCTCATTCTTGCTCCCACACCTAAAGTCTCCAGAGTATCCATCATAAAGCTCCAGTTTACTCTATCAAATGCTTTTTCAGCATCTATCGAAAGCACCACTACCGGCGTCTTCCCCTTCCTAGCCTTCTGGATAAGTAACAGAGTTCTCAAACCGTTATCTCTACCCTCTCTCCCTGGCACAAATCCCACCTGGTCAGCGTGGATCCAATCTGGCATTAGGTCTTTTAATCTGTTTGCTAGGACCTTTGCGTATAACTTTGTGTCGATATTCAGAAGTGATATTGGTCTATAACTGGAGCATTGAGAAGCATCCTTCCCCTCCTTTTGGATTAACACCACATGGGCCTGCAAAGATTCCCGCCTCATCTCCATCTCCCCTCCCAGGGCATTCATATATTTCTCCATTTTTGGTAGTAACAAGTCACTATATTTTTTATAGTACCTCACTGTATAACCATCTGGGCCTGGGCTTTTCCCATTTATGGTACTTTTTAATGCACTTTTTATTTCTTCCTGCGAAATTTCCATATCTAGGGAATTCAATAGATCCTCACTTAACTTCGGTAGTCCTGCATTTTTAAAATA